CAAGCTTGCCACCAGTTACTAATATTTAGCTATAGCTAGCATACTAACAAGCTAGCCACTAGTTATTAATAGTTAGCTATAGCTAGCAAACTAACAAGCCAGTCACTAGTTATTAACAGTTAGCTATAGCTAGCATACAAACAAGCTAGCCACTAGTTACTAATAGTTAGCTATAGCTAGCATACTAACAAGCTAGCCACTAGTTACTAATAGTTAGCTTTAGATAGCAAACTAACAAGCTAGCAGCTAGTTACCAATAGTTAGCTTTAGCTAGCAATCTTACAAGTTAGCCACAAGTTACTACTAGTAGTAAGCTACAGCTAGGAAACTAACAACCTAGTAACAAGTTACCACTAGTTAGCTATAGCTAGGAAACTAACAAGCTAGCAACTAGTTACAATAGTTAGCTATAGCTAGCAAATTAACAATCTAGTAACTAGTTACCAATAGTTAGCTTTAGCTAGCAAACTAACAAGCTAGTAACTAGTTACAATAGTTAGCTATAGCTAGCAAACTAACAAGCTAGCCACTAGTTACCAATAGTTAGCTATAGCTAGCAAACTAACAAGCTAGTAACTAGTTACCAATAGTTAGCTTTAGCTAGCAAACTAACAAGCTAACAACTAGTTACAATAGTTATCTATAGCTAGAAAACTAACAAGCGAGCAACTAGTTACAATAGTCATATATAGCTAGCAAACTAACAAGCTAGCAACTTTTAACAATAGTTATCTATAGCTAGCAAAATAACAAGCTAGTAACTAGTTACCAATAGTTAGCTTTAGCTAGAAAACTAACAAGCTAGCCACTAGTTACCAATAGTTAGCTATAGCTAGCAAACTAACAAGCTAACCAATAGTTACCAATAGTTAGCTATAGCTAGCAAACTAACAAGCTAGCAACAAGTTACCAATAGTTAGCTATAGCTAGCAAACTAACAAGCTAGCAACTAGTTACCAATAGTTAGCTACAGCTAGCAAACTAACAAGCTAGATAGCTAGATGTAATAACAAGAGACAGGTCATTTCCTGAGTTTATGTTTACATTACATTCTGTTAAAGATATTGATTGAACAATTTGCAAATAACGGATATTCTCAGGATCAGAGTTTTCAGATCTCACCATTGTATTCTATCAAAACAGCAGATTTTTAAAGGATTTTTTTAAATGCGTTTTTACGATCTGTCCCTGAACCAGTTCTTTCTTCTGGGTTAAATATTCTTCTGAAATGTCATTAAATAACATTATTTTATTTGTTATTAATTGTATAGAAAAATTTACAAGTTATTACATAATTAAATGACTTTCTATTCAAGGAAAGTTACAGAGTGCCTTTACTTTAAAAAAGCATATTGATATTATGGTTTTTCATAATCATGTGCTTAATTGCTCTGAGGTCATTCAACTAGCTGATCCAATGTATTCATATCTGGACACAAAAATAGATAGATGAATATATATTGATAATTAGACAAACAGAAAGACAGTTCTATAGATAAACAAATAAAAAAATAAACAAATAGACATATCAGTTTAATAAGATTAGGATGGTTTGCATTTTTTGATTCAAAATAAACTTTTATAAATTTCATTAAAAATTGTTTTCATAAATAAACAGAAAACCTGTTGAAAAAAATAAAAATAATTCCAGCAAATCTATCTAAAGAATTTATTTAATATTTGTCTCCAAATTTAGGATAGTTTTGTACTGTGTTCAATTTCCGGAACTCTTTTAAATACAAAACTGTGTATTTACATTGTACAATTGAGAACAGTTTCTTTCACTACAGCAATTAAATACTTTATAAAATTAGAGACAATAAGTTAGTTGTATAGTGCTAATACCCTTGTAATACCCTGGTCAATTTGACCCAAATGAACCCTATTTCTCAACTTTAATCAAAGTTCACTTTTCTCATCTTTATAATTAACCTGAAAGGATAGATAGATCGATAGATAGATAGATAGAGTGAAGATAGCATAGATAAATAATATGGTTTGAACTTCGCACCTATCTACGGATCCGGATCCAAGCTAGGTACAAGTGTCAACCCGAGTCTGCTGAAAAAAAAACTTTTATGCTTAAAAAAAAATCTGCACTAACCAATAGAAATTATTTAAAACTTCCTAATCTTTATCTTGTCCAGCAAGTTTCAGCATAAAAGTAAACGAAAAAAAAAGTAAAAAATCAGTAAATCTTAAAGAAATATTGAAACGTATCTAGGATTTCAAATAATGTAAATCCTAAGTACTGCTTTCTTGTAATAATCTTAGATTTCCGTCGCTGATTTGTCTTTCGTACATTTTTATATATTAATAAAAACATGCTTATACAGGATTTTCCTAGGTTATGAGAGTTAGTTACCATAAACTGTTTGGTTCGATCGGTTCAGGCGTTTATTGAATACCAACCTAACAAACCAACATCAGACAAACCAAACTATAGATCAATGTTTTAATGAGTTATAGATATAAAGTTTTATTGACGATTGATATATGATAGAAGTTATATAGAAGAAGGAGGGGAGTAGGAGTTTATAAGTTTATAAGTATAGGTAGTTGAGTAGGATAGGAGTAGAAGGGTAGTGGAGTAGGAGTTGGAGTATATAGGTAGTTGAGTAGGGTAGGAGTAGAAGGGTAGGGGAGTAGTAGTTGTAGTATATAGGTAGTTGAGTAGGAGTAGAAGGCTAGTGGAGTAGGAGCTGGAATTCATAGGTAGTTGAGTAGGAGCAGAAGGCTAGTTAAGTAGGAGCAGGAAGGTATTTAAATAGGAGTAGTTAGATAATTGGAGTAGGAAGGTATTTAAATAGGAGTGGTGTTAGATAATTGGAGTAGGTAGGTATTTAAATAGGAGTAGTTAAATAATTGGAGTAGGAAGGTTTTGAAATAGGAGTAGTTAGATAATTGGAGTAGGAAGGTATTTAAATAGGAGTAGTTAGATAGATAATTGGAGTAGGAAGGTAGGGGAGTAATAAGTTAGTAGTAGTTAATAGTATAGGTAAGTTGAGTAACAGTGTGGTATTTTAAGAATCTCCAAGGTTAAGAGGTTGCGTGATCTTCATGTTTGACAAACCTTTAACTAGAATAAAGATAGGAAAACAAAACATATTTCATTCACGGCGATAAAAAAATATTTTATAAAATTCATAACTATGTACTCAGGAGTATCTAAACATTTAAGATATCAAATATTTCTTCGATCCACAGAAGAGTGGATAAATGAAAAAAAAGTGTCAAAGGATTAAGAAATATAACGCCCCTGCCCTTAACCCACAAATTTTGATTTTCCCTCCCTATTGATGTGTCCAGACCTATGACTGGGGAATATTGTTGAGAAACTGACAAAGTGGTGAACTCCCCGCCCCCTCCCCCCTCCCTTCAGTTCTCCAAGATAATGGAAAAATAGAAAATAATATTACAGAAGCAACGCTTACAAAAGTACTTTGGAAGTTATTTGTATTTTCCCAGGACATTTAACTTCAATATATTTTGAAAACTTTATCGCAGAATGAAAAAGTGTGAAATACTAAATGTTGTGGATAATTTTATTTAGCCAGACACCCTGTAGTGAATGAATTTAGCTATAGACACCCTGTACTGGATGTTTTTACCGGAACACCTTGTAGTGGATGCTCTTACCTCGACACCCTTTAGTGATGTTTTTACCTGGACACCCTGCAGTGGATGTATCTAGCTAGACGCCCTGTAGTGGATGTTTATACCTGGACACCCTGTAGTGGATATGTTTACCTTGACACCTTTAGCGGTGTTATCACCAGGACATCTTGTAGTGGATGTATTTAGCTAAACACCCCGTAGTGGATATTTTTACCTTGACACCCTGTAGTGGATATTTTTACCAGGACACCCTGTAGTGGATATTTTTACCAGGACACCCGGTAGTGGATGTATCTAGCTAGACGCCCTGTAATGGATGTATTTAGCGGATATGTTTACCTTGACACCTTGTAGTGGTGTTATCTTCAGGACATCTTGTAGTGGATGTATTTAGTTAGACACCCTGTAGTGGATGTATTTAGCTAAACACCCTGTAGTGGATGTTTTTACCTGGACACCCGGTAGTGGATATATTTACCTTGACACCCTATAGTGGACAGTTAAAAAGAACAGATTTTTAAGAACTGCTCTGATGTAAGATAATGAGTTGAAAATAATATATTTCTCTATTACTTCTAGTTCTAGGTATAACTGGAGGTAGATAATTCTAGTTTCCAGGTATACAATCTATACAACTGGTCAGCTAGAGATACAAACTTGTTTACGACTTTTTCGTCTAAAAATTAAATTATTTTGTCTTCGCATCAATAAATAGAAACGGACAGTGGGAATACAATACATTACATACACAGGTATATGTAGAGCTAGCTATTTAAATATATAGAAACCTAGCTAACTAACTATTCGTCTAACTATCTGTAGTTTTATCAATACATTATATACACAGGTATATGTAGAGCTAGCTATTCAAATATATAGAAACCTATCTAACTAACTATTCGTCTAACTATCTGTAGTTTTATCAATACATTATATACACAGGTATATGTAGAGCTAGCTATTCAAATATATAGAAACCTATCTAACTAACTATTCGTCTAACTATCTGTAGTTTTATCAATACATTATATACACAGGTATATGTAGAGCTAGCTATTCANCCCCCCCCTCACATTCATAGTTTTCTTGTATCCTACAATCCTTTATAAGTTCGCAAACTTTAAATGTTTACCCTTTAGGCTTTCTGAACATCCATTGAAAATCTTAAATCATATTTTATAATTGAACTTATTTTCTAAACGTTATCAGCAAATCCCGATGACAGTTTAGAATGTATACTAATAAATTGGAAACAGCTTGGATTTCAAGTTTTTGCTTTAGCGACGATGAAATTAATACAATTTCTCTCTCTCATCCCTCCCTTGTTTGAATGTTTTCATCCAATGATCTAGACACGTTTATTTTAATAATAATTGATATAATAAATACACATTTATATCAATACATGATATATGATAAAACATTAAAGCTGTAACCAAAATATACAGTAAAAAGAAAGAAAAACAAAATTTATGAAATCTTTCAATACTTTTTTACACTGGGTGTGTTACTGGGTGTGTGTGTACAGATAAGAATAATTAGTTTAAATGCTAGAGAAAAATATGTTTGCGCTGTTACAACATTATTTGCTTGTTTTAACTTTATGTAATAAAAATATATAAAAATTTGGTTAAAGAGCATAAGAGGGCTTATGAATAAAAATATTTTAAAAGATGGTACTGTTAGACTAGCTTTGGTCTGGGCATTTACAAATTCATTTTTGGAACGGAGAAATTTTGCTAAAAATCTTTGTAATTTTTTCTTTGGTTGACATGTCATGAAATTGTGCTGTTTTGCTGATTTTTATGTGCAACACATTTCCGCATATGTTTCTCCAGTGTGCTTGTCACACTGAACGGCATGTCGCAAAATCGACACTTAAAAATGTCGCGACCGTGCCGACCATGGGTTTTCATGTGTCTTGTTAGTTTACTGCTTTGTGCACAGCTGTAGGGACATAGTTCACATTTATATGGTTTCTCTCCAGTGTGGGATCTTCTGTGTACTGTCAGATTAGAACAATTCTTAAATACTTTTCCGCAGTACTCGCAAGTATCGTTCCGTCCCTTGCCAATAAGTTCTTTTCTCGTCTGAGGATCGAACAAAGCGTCCAATCGACCTTTCTCAACAAAAGATTTAATTGCACTTGGTTCCATTGGAGGAAGCTGTATACCGGGGGGCAGGGGTAAATCCTTCAACGAGGATCTACGTTTGACCGGATGCGGATTTTTCTCCAAAAGATTGGTGGATACTCGGATTCTGTCTACAGCTGGGTTCCAGGTACCGGCGTAAAGGTTTTCTCTCCGGTTTTGATCACAGTTCTCCTTCTCCTGTTTAACCGTCTCCGACTCTTTCAAGGCTTTCTTGTATGCCTCCTCGTACTCCTTGATGTGGGAGAATCCAAACTTATCCATTATATCCCGGACACAGCTGTTCTCCGTCCCGTCTAACGGACGCTTGATTGATAGATCCTGTGCCTCCTCAATACTCTCGTCTACATCCACACTTTCATCTGCGTCCATGCTCTCTTCTTCTATCAGATTTTCATCCACGGAACCTAGAATAATCTATTGTTAACTATTGAAATATTTTTTTCAAAATTTAAATTTTGAAACAGAAATAAAAATATGGATTAAACTAAGAAAAAACTCTACCTGACGATATTCCTCCGGCAGAAGTAGGCCGGTCAGTTTTATTCTCTAAGAAGGTAGTTGATGGAGAGGATGATGTATCCTTCCTCTCTTCTTGACAACTTATCTCCGGGTTCAGAGAATCAGGACTTTTTCTTTCCGTCCCTGCTTCGTCTTTGATTTTGTCTTCTGTATTAAGGTTTATATCTGGATACAGTTTTGGAAGGTACCCTGATATAACAGGACTAGGTTTTGCATCTATTTTAAAAGAAGGTTCTTGAAAGAATGGATTGAACCCTGTATATCCAGTATATCCTCGGAGATGGGATAAAAGGAGAGAATCTATATGTCCCTGGAGAGAAGGATACAGTGGTCCGAACCTATCCTGGAGAAGATATGGGTACTCTAGTTTAGGTTCAGGTTTGGTGAAGAGCGTGATACCATGAGCAGAGTGAATATGCTCTACAAGCTCTAGAGCAGTGAAGAGATGACGTTGACAGTGAATACACGGATAAACACTTGGCTCTGTAAAAGAGAAAGATTATAATTAAATAAATCAATCAATCAATTACTAATTATCATTAATAGCCTGTAAACTGCGTGAGGGGAACGAATTGAGGATGAATATTTGATCAACCAACACCAGTTGCTCAACATAAATATTCAGATTCTAATATTTTCAATCTACAGTTTTCATGATATTTATATTTATATTATTTTTTAGGGATACAAAACCATACAATATATTGAACTCTTTTATAGAGATAGATAGATGTTTATCAATCAATAAGAATATTTTACGCGTACATATATACTTTTATTCGTGGAATACGGTGCAGTATGCTCAGAGCAGTTAATTAGGTTAAAAGTTTGAGTTATAGACCATAATATTGAGTTGAACTTTAGATATATAGCTTTGCCTAGATCATATCAAACGAACTATATACATACATAACATAATACAAATGCCTGTTTCGTGTGTGTTAAATTTTAAATCTAAAAGATCGCGAAGCGTCCTGATTTCTTGGACCAAAATTATACAAACCTATCTTGACGTTTGTAAAGGAATTGATCCTTTGCTGCAATCTCAAATTTTATAACCTTTTGGTGTAAACCTTTGATATTTCAAACTTTGATTATTCGGTCTAACAAAATTCATAGTTTAAAATATCTAATCAGCGGGCATTGGGTTGCATATATATAGGATTAGAAATGCAGACAAATGCGGCAAAGAATCAATTCCTTATGATTTATTTTGGAGGATGTGTGTGTACCTGTGTTGACAGTATTGGTTGCTGCATCTGAAGCAGTTTTTCTGCTGCTCTGTGAACTGCTCTCAACTCTGGAATCATTATCAGCTCCAGCTGAGTCAGGAGAGGTTCGTGGATTTTCAACATATTTTCTTGGATTTGTTTTAAACTTGTTGTTGTGGTTTGTGGGGGAGCAAGGTAAACTCTTGTGCTGGATAAATGATGAGAGGGAGGAGAGAGAGAATTCCTCACCACAGCTACCACAGCTCACAACATCACCGCCCACTCTAGGGTTAACTGAAATAAAAAGGGTTAAATACACAATTTACCCATTAATCAGGCCAAAACTTAAAACCCTCAAGCAATACAAGGTTGCCAAAGAAAGAGTGCATTAGAAACTAAGATGATTTTCTCCATTAATCAACTGAAAATATATCCACGAGAGGAATAAGTTTAAAGACAGGGTTGATAAAAATTGAGAATGGTTTATCCCTGAATAAAAGTCTGAATTTTCTGCTTTGAATAGAGCAGAGGAGACAGATACAGCCTAATAATTCTTCATTCAAGTCAGAACTAGAGAATAGAAACTGAATTATTGGAGTGTTTCATCTAGTTTGGGGTGTTCTTTCTTCTTATCTATCTATCTAATTATATCTATAAAATTCTATCAATCTATCTATCTATCTATCTATCTATCTATCTATCTATCTATCTATCTATCTATCTATCTATCTGTCTATCTATCTATCAATCAATCTATCTATCTATCTATCTATCTATCTATCTAATCTATCTATCTATCTATCTGTCTATATCTATCTATCTATCTATCTATCTATCTATCTATCTATCTATCTATCTATCTATCTATCTATCTATCTATCCATCTATCTATCTATCTATCTATCTATCTATCTATCTATCTATCTATCTATCTATATATCTATTTATCTATCTATCTATATGTCTATCTATCTATCTATCTATCTATTCATTAAACTATCTATTATCTAGCTATCTATCTATATATCTCTTAACTGAGTCAGTGTATCTTCCTGTAAGTCTTGAAGACAAAGAACATGAAGTTTAAAAAGTCAAAAAGTTATGAATCAAGATATAAGGAGGATGATTAATGAGTTAATGAATCAAGATATGAGGAGGATGATGAATGAGTGAATGAATCAAGATATGAGGAGGAGGATGAATGAGTGAATGAATCAAGATATGAGAAGGATGATGAATGAGTGAATGAAAGGATGATATCTGGAAGGATATGAAGTAACAGCTGTGTTAAACAAAAGCCCTGGATATCAATTATCTCCTATAATACTTCTGTTTAATTGTTCTCTAGATATAAGTAGGGCTAAATGTTGACCTCAGAAAGTATGAATTAAAGAGAAAACAAAGTTTTGTATTTCTGAATTGAGATCACAAAGACCCTTGTTGGAAAAACAGGATGACTGTCAGAATTTCACATTTTACCCTTTTTTAGCAACAATTCTTTTTAAACAAAGCCTAGTCAACTGGAACTAGAAACTTGGAAAACTAGAAATATATATTCAGTTGACCAGGGTGTCCCAGAATATATTCAGTTGAACAGGGTGTCCCAGAATATATTCAGTTGACCAGGGTGTCCCCAGAATATAATCAGTTGACCAGGGAGTCCCATAATATATTCAGTTGACCAGGGTGTCCCAGAATATGTTCAGTTGACCAGGGAGTCCCATAATATATTCAGTTGACCAGGGAGTCCCATAATATATTCAGTTGACCAGGGTGTCCCAGAATATGTCCAGGGAGTCCCATAATATATTCAGTTGACCAGGGTGTCCCAGAATATATTCAGTTGACCAGGGAGTCCCATAATATATTCAGTTGACCAGGGCCGGGTAACCCAGAATATAACCAGTTCACCAGGGTGTCCCATAATATATTCAGTTGACCAGGGTGTCCCATAATATATTCAGTTGACAAGGGTGTCCCATAATACATTCAGTTGACCAGGGTGTCCCAGAATATATTCAGTTGACCAGGGTGTCCCATAATATATTCAGTTAACCAGGGTGTCCCATAATATATACAGTTGACCAGGGTGTTCCAGAATATATTAGTAGACCAGGGTGTCCCAGAATATATTCAGTTAACCAGGGTGTCCCATAATATATACAGTTGCCCAGGGTGTTCCAGAATATATTAGTAGACCAGGGTGTCCCAGAATATATTCAGTTTACCAGGGTGTCCCAGAACAAATTCATAATATCAGAGTTTTTTCAACATTAATTTTTCTTAAACCCCCTTTATTTAGTCTTATATAACATCCTGGATAAAAGTGAAGATAGATCATGAAGGTTTGACCTTCGATATTATTTCAACAAGTATAGAGGTTTATATATATATTTAATAATTTAAAAACATGTCACAGGATCCTCCCCAGCTCTAGTTTATACATGGATACAGTGGTTCTCATAGTCCACCATAATTATTTTATTTATTAATATTATTTTCATAAACTGATTATTATTTATGATGTTAAGTAACCCTACCAACGTAATAATCTTGAAATTTGACTTCAGGTTAAAAAGTATAACTTTTAAATTGCAAATAAAAAAACTTATTACAAAGTTAAAAAATTAAATGGTTTCAATTATGTTAAAACAACCTGGAAAAATTAAAATTGTTCCTGTTTAGCAGAATATGTATAATTAGAACTAAAACTGACGTGTTTAGGTTAAACTTTGAATTCTTTATAATCTAGAAAACATGAAGAAAGAACTCTTCCTTGTTTTTACCGCGTAGTAAGGTCAAGAGAGAAGCGATTTTTCTGATTATGGCTTATTTTAGGTATTTCTTGCAATGCGATGAAACTAGGCCGCAGGGAAGTCAGTTAGTTATCTAGTTATTTAGAATGATATCAATCAGAGAGAAGAATGATCCGCCTGAAATAATATACTTCATAGAACCGTCACTAAAGATATATTTATACATATTGCGGCTGAAATGCGATTTGCAAATGCTATCTCATCCTAGCGGAAACCCCGCGTAAAATGGCACCAAAATACAGGAAAAATGAGATCATAAAGATTAAAATCTTTAGGTTCTCTCAGATTTCTGGAATAGTGTTTATCCGGCTAATATTAAAACTTCAATTCATGCACCTTTATCACCCTTCATCCTTCCCCCTTCACTTTTAAGAATATAATAATTTATATTATACATGTAAATACTTCAAAAATATTTCCATAAGCGACGTAAAATTTATGTTTTATTAAAAAAGAAACCCTCGAAAAGTAATAATAATATTTTATTAAAAAAGAAACCATCGAAAAGTAATAAAGTAAAGCTAAGGAGCAGAGAACCGTAAACCCTTCACACCACAAATATTTTTCAGCCAATAAAATATTTCAAGTATCTAGAGAGGTAGAAATAGAGAAACTAGAGAGGTAGAAATAGAGAAACTAGAGAGTAAGAAATATAGAAACTAGAGAGGTAGAAATATAGAAACTAGAGAGGTAGAAATAGAGAAATTAGAGAGTTAGAAATATAGAAACTAGAGAGGTAGAAATAGAGAAACTAGAGAGGTAGAAATAGAGAAACTAGAGAGGTAGAAATAGAGAAACTAGAGAGGTAGAAATAGAGAAACTAGAGAGGTAGGAATATAGAAACTAGAGAGGTAGAACTATAGAAAGTAGAGAGGTAGGAATATAGAAACTAGAGAGGCTGGAATACAGAAACTAGAGAGGTAGGAATATAGAAACTAGAGAGGTTGGAATATAGAAACTAGAGAGGTAGAAATAGAGAAACTAGAGAGGTAGAAATAGAGAAACTAGAGAGGTAGGAATATAGAAACTAGAGAGGAAGTAATATAGAAACTAGAGAGGTGGGAATATAGAAACTACAGAGATAAGAATATAGAAAAACTAGAGAGGTAGAAAAAGAGAAACTAGAGAGGTAGAAATAGAGAAACCAGAGAGGTAGGAATATAGAAACCAGAGAGGTAGGAATATAGAAACTAGAGAGGTGGGAATATAGAAACTGCAGAGGTAGGAAATATAGAAACTAGAGAGGTTGGAATATAGAAACTGGAGAGGTAGGAAATATAGAAATTAGAGCGGTATGAATTTGTAATCTAAAGAGGTAGAAATATGGTAACGAGAGAGGATTGAATATAGAAACTGAAGAGGTAGGATTATAGAAACTAAAGATTTAGAAAAATAGAAACTAAAGAGGTTAAAATAAGGAAACTGAAAAAGTAGGATTATAGAAATTAAAGCGATAGGAAAATAGAAACTAGACAGGTTGAAATATAGAAACTGAAAAGGTAGGATTATAGAAACTACAGAGATAGGAATATAGAAACTAGAGATGTAGAAATAGAGAAACTAGAGAGGCAGGAATATAGAAACTAGAGAGGTGGGAATATAGAAACTGAAGAGGTAGGAAAATAGAAACTAGAGAGGTGGGAACAAAGAACCGAGAGAGGTAGGAATATAGAAACTTAAAAGGTAGGATTATAGAAGCAAAAGAGATGGGAATATAGAAACGAGAGAGGATTGAATTCAAAAACTAGAGAGGTTGGAATATAGAAACTAAAGAGATAGGAATATAGAAACTAAAGAGATTGGAATATAGAAGCTAAAGAGGTTGGAAAATAGAAACTGAAAAGGTAGGATTATAGAAACTAAAGAGATAGGATTATAGAAACTAGAGAGGATTGAACATAGAAACTGAAGAAGTAGGATTATTGAAACTAAAGGGATAGGAAAATAGTAAATAGTGGGAATAATAGGAATAAATGATATCGATGGAAGAATATGAACGGTTAATATAAGAAGAAGTGTGACAGGGGATAAAAAGGGGTTTAAAGGAAGGGGAAAAGAGGGGGAAGGGGGGGGGGAGGGCGTATTAAGTATAGAATAGAAGAAGCAATCGTAAAGTCAGTGTAGTATAAAATCTGGTTACTATTATAACAATACAATGGTTTCATACCAGCATCCGCTATTTTCCGTCCTTTATGTCTCTTCAGATCTTACTTTCTAGAACTTATATCTATCTGTCTATCTATCCATCTATTCTGCTATCTATGTATCATTCTTTATATACATGTATCCATCTATTCTTCTATCTATATATCATTCTTTATATACATGTATCCATCTATTCTTCTATCTATATATATTCTTCTTTATTTACATGTATCCATCTATTCTCCTATCTATATATTATTCTTTATATACACGTATCCATCTATTCTTCTATCTATGTATTATTCTTTATATTCATGTATTCATCTATTCTTCTATCTTTATATTATTCTTTATATACATGTATCCATCTATTCTTCTTTCTATATATTATTCTTTATATATATGTATCCATCTATTCTTGTATCTATCTATTTAGCTAAATTGATAGCCAGAAAACAAATATAGCTTAACTAGTAAGTTATTAAATTACTTATTAAGCGAAATAGGTCTGTTTACACTGCACAATTTCTCTGTTTCATGTCCATTGGACTATTTAAAAGTCGACTTCCTATTTCAAAGCTTTCTGGTTATCACTGAATCTATCCTTCGATTTTTTTCATTTATCTATCTATCCTTCTCTCTTTGCATTTAGTTCCTTATATGTATAACCCCCTTAGTTTAGATATTTCTTTTATATAAATTTTACTAAACGGAATTGTGAGCTTAATTTACACTCATCCTCATTTTAAGAAATATCTTTAGCGAACAAAATAATGTCCTTAAAATCATTAAATAGAATACATTGATTAAAAATATCTTCTTTTTTAAATGCAAATGAACATCATAGAAGTGTAAAAAATTGCTGAGATGATCCTTACTCAGAATGAATAAACTTTTTTTCTACAGGGTTACTAACAAAGGATTATAAATCTTTAATGAAGATTTAAAATTCTTTAAATATGACGATATAGCAATAATTTGGTAATCTGTCTTTAATGAAGTCTTTTCTGGGTAAATGGAATAATTTGACAAAGAAGGGAACCAAACATGTGAAAAATAAATATGAAAAAAATTCGTATGGTTCGTTTTAAAGTCTCACTCTTGTGAACAAATCTTGGGTCACTTCAAATTACATATTTTACAAAAATGAGATTGATTATTTTATTCTTGTTTTTGAGTTTGGATGCTTTATACCTGGTATATTATTGGGTTTATATATCTGATGAAGAAGAAGAAGATTAAGATGAGTTTGTGTATCTCCCATTTTCTCAAGATAAATGCTCATCTCTCCGTCAAAATAGTTCTTTCTTCAAATAGTCTTCATATCCTCATCCTTTCAATTCTTCCTTTTAAACCAAACTATGCATTTATTCTCTTTCACTGGGAAAAGTTTGTGTTTTCCAGTATGTTTATAATATTCTTGGACTGAAGTATCTGTTCTCCTGTATCTGTTTATATACTGGAGTACGGTTCAGTCAACCCGACCAGTACGGAGCGCAGACTAGAACTGAAATTGCTTTTACTGATCTGCCGCCACCCTTGGACCTTCCTGACCACACCGGGGCTCACGACAGGTCTCACGGAGTAGAGTACGACACCGGGGCTCACGGCAGGTCTCACGGGATAGAGTACAGCACAGAGGCTCATGACAGGTCTCACGGTGTAGAGTACAACACAAGGTTCACTTCAGGTGTCATGGGGTAGAGTACCACACTGGGGCTCAGGGGGGGGGGGGGTACAACACAACCAAGGCTCACGGCAGGTCTCACTCGGTTAAGTACAAGACCAGGGGCAAGGTCTCAAGGGTTAGGTAAAGAACGGTGGCTCATGGCAGATTTCACGGGTTAGAGTATAGCACTTTGGCTTACAGCAAGGCTCACGACATGTTTCACAGGTTAGATTACGTCATCGGGTCCTACAGGTTAGAGCAAAACACCGGGGTCTCACAACAAGTTTCACGAATAAGAGTACAACACCGGAGGAATACGCCAGGTGTCATGGGTTAGAGCACAGGACCGGAGGATACAATGGTTGTTGAATGGCGTAAAATTTATTAATAGAATAGATTTTTAATCATAAAATAAGGTAAATTTTGAATATCCAGTCTCAGCCAGCTAATTAAAATGTACACAGATTAAGGGATTGTAAATTTCAATAAGGGATTGTTTAGATAATTTATCATATGCTCGTTAAACTAGCCTAGTTAACTTATATACATAACATTCACACACAATATAAACTTCAACTGTAAATGTAACAACCCCAAAAAACTATTCGCCAGATTTTTAACTTTAGCTTAAACTTATGCTACGGTGGTAGGCCATAATATCAATATAATGAAGACGACTTTCGATATAAATTTTGACTTATATTAAGCTTTTAAATAGCAAGGATACCCAAAACATGGAAACAAAGAGAATATGCCAATTAAAAAAGCTTCTAATTAATTACTTGTAAACTTGTAATTCGAAAAAAGCTTGTAAACAATTAAAACTTCAAGAAAAAAGTCGTCTTCGTTATATTGGTATTATCGCCTACCACCGTATTATCTGCTATACCTTTTAACATGCGCTCGAATATGTACACCCTGCTAGACCTAAATATTTGTTCTTGAACCCGTGAGACCTTCGGACCTCCATAACTGTTCTGTAACATGTTACACCTCCGATACCTCTATATTGGTTCTAAAATCCAAGACGCCTGCTATCCGCCATATATGTACTTGAACCTCTGAGACCTGTTATACATCCATATATGTTTTTGAATCTGTGAGACTTGCTAAACCTTTATATATGTTCTGAAATCCACGAGGCCTGTTGTCCTTCACATATGTACCTGAACCTCTAAGTCCTGTTATACCTCCATATATGTTCTTAAACCTGTGAGACCTACCATACCTCACAACAAGCCTCAATACCCAGATCACGTCACATCACACAGATTTCCACCTTAGTGCCAAATTCTTTCTGATATCCAACGCAAGTCAGATATAGATCTAGGACAGGGGAAACTGGGTCTGCTTAATCAATTTAAAAGATCAATTTTCAAGATAATGAAAATAGTTTCCCCCAGTTTATTATTTAAGTGTTTACGACACTGTAAAAGTCGCAGAAATCATTTTTGGAAGTTCAAGGTTTTTTTTTGATAGACAAATAACTCATTCCTGATACAATATTCGAAATATTTAAATAAAGCAAAAATATTTTTTCGATGTAAGGTTTGGTGTATTTGATCTTGATTGTGGTTTGTATATTGAAGTCTGAAGAGTGGTACAAAGACATGTCGATTTCTGTATTCTAGGCTGTCAAGATACCGCACTTTCACGCAGGTCAGGGTATTCGTGTATCAAGTGTCTGTCAGTTTTGTTTGTATATGTTTTTTTTCAAAAATTTTCCAAAATATGTATTGTTTGCTTTGATGCTTTCTAATTGTTTAACATATATACTGAGTAACCTGCAAGCTTTATCTAAAACCCGATTGATTGATTGATTGATTATCGTTTAAATTTAATTGTGCGCACTTCCAAAATAATTTAGTTTTCTGTCCAAGATTGTGTTCTGTCCAATATATTTAATTTAATTTGTTTCTTCTTTAAAATTATGCCTAAAATTTAACCTTGGTCATGTTAATATGTGTTCCTCCTACTATCTGTATTCTATTATGTGTTCATGAAGTAGAATATGTGTTCTTCCTACTATCTGTGTTCTAGAATGTGTTTACAACGTAGAATATGTGTTCCTCCTACTATCTGTGTTCTATTTTGTGTTCATGAAGTAGAATATGTGTTCTTCATACTATCTGTGTTCTAATATGTGTTCATGAAGTAGAATATGTGTTCTTCCTACTATCTGTGTTCTAGAATGTGTTTACAACGTAGAATATGTGTTCCTCCTACTATCTATGTTCTAGAATGTGTTTACAACGTAGAATATGTGTTCCTCCTACTCTCCGTGTTCTAGAATGTGTTTACAATTTAGAATATGTGTTCCTCCTACTATCCGTGTTCTAGAATGTGTTTGTAACGTAGAATATTTGTTCCTCCTACTATCTGTGTTCTAAAATGTGTTTACAACATAGAATATTTGTTCCTCCTACTATCTGTGTTCTATTATCGATGTATGTATGTGTATATATTATAAGTTTGTGTTCTCCGAAGTGTATCAAGATGATCTTTTATATACTTGTTTCCAAGTTTAGCTATCTATCTATCTATCTACCTAGCTATCTATCAATGTAATATCCTGGTTTAAAGCTATCAACATGTCATCTATACCTACCGTTTAAGCTAATCTCTAGGAGCTAATCGGGAAATAACCAACGAGATATATTAAACACATTTCAAAATTGTATTCCAATGAAACATTTATTTCTGGTTCTGTGTTAGTTACAGATTTTTTGGGCTATTGGTCTACTGTTCTACTGGACTACTGTTCTACTGGACTACTGTTCTACTGGACTACTGTTCTACTGGACTACTGTTCTACTGGACTACTGCTCTACTGGGCTAATGTTAAATTCTATTGGATTACTTTTCTACTGGACAACATTCTACTGGGCTACTGTTCTACTGGACTTTTGTTCTACTGGACTTTTGTCTACTGGACTACTGTTCTACTGGACTACTGTTCTACTGGACTACTGTTCTAATAGACTACTGTTCTACTGGACTACAGCTCTACTGGGCTAATGTTAAATTCTATTGGATTACTTTTCTACTGGACAACATTCTACTGGGCTACTGTTCTACTGGACTTTTGTTCTACTGGACTTTTGTTCTACTGGACTTTTGTTCTACTGGAATACTGTTCTACCGGGCTACTGTTCTACTGATCTACAGGCGCGCCTACTAACTAAAGGTCTACTGGTCTAGGATCTGGTCTACTAAATGATTTTATCTAATGGTCAGCAGGTCTATTAGTTTAATGATAATTTGATCTACTGGTCTACTGGTCTACGAGCACTTTTTGTGATAATCTCTTACAGGGAAAAATACTGTTTGTCCGTCAATGTGTGTCTGATAATATTTTTGAAGATGTGATCAAAGTCTCTATTTAGCTGGAGGCAGAGGGTAGAGGGTCCATCTATATATCTCTCTATCTATCTATCTATCTATCTGTCTATCTACAGGAGGAGGAATTCTTTCAATACAGCATTCTTTAATTTCCATATTGTTCCAGACCATATACCTAGATAAAAACCTTTCTATCTGTCTTTCTTTTTCTTTTTCTCTTTTGTTTTCCTTTTCAAGCGAGCAGATGGAAGATCAACAATTTAGTGGAAAAGGACATTGGACCAAATCAATATTAATTTGAAACAAAATTCTTTCATTGTATTTTTATATATTCATCAATAAGGAATCAGTTAATTTTAATTCGTTAATCAATCCACAAATTCTTCTGTAAATGGATGAATTTTTTGCGTGGATTTCAGTTGTTTTTTACTTTGTTCTATTTCCGTCTTTCTATCTATCTATCCTATCTATCTATCCTAACTATCTATCTATCCTATCTATCTATCCTAACTATCTATCTATCCTAACTATCCATCTATCCTAACTATTTATTCTAACTATCTATCTATCCTATCTATCTATCCTAACTATATATCTATCCTAACTATCTATCCATCCTAACTATCCATATATCCTAACTATCTATCCTAACTATCTATCTATTCTAACTATCCATGTGAAGTGTATTCTACCATGATGTGCAATTCTAATTTATTATCTGTATTCATAATTATTAGTATCTTAATTATTTTGTATGTTGACCCAGCCGGGCTAGCCCGGTCAGTTCATTCTACCTGTTTATAAATAAAGTTAGTTGAATATCATTAATTGATCTGAACGGACGTATACAGAGCCTTGAGTTTTGGCTAGAGATTTAGTTAGAGAGAATTTCATTAGACTGTGAGTCAAGTAATCGTTAGAGAAGTAGCATCTAGGTTTGTTACAAAGAATGGTATTTAGAAACTATATATATTCTCCACAGTCCACGGTGCAAACATGCCACATCACAATTTCCTAAATTTTGATTAGCTTTGTAAATATTGTTTTTATTCTTCATATTTAATTTGTTTCCAATCTAGCATCGCTCCTCACACCGGACTAACCAGAGTGACCAGCATTCGGTTTCTTCTATTTGAAATCAAACGTGTTTTGGTCTTTAATTCAATAATCATTTATTTTACGGATTTGTTTATTTTATAAATTTTTATTCAAAATGCATATGCCAACAAAAAAGTATTTAATAAAAAGGCTAACAAATTATGTTTAATGGGTCAAATTGTGATCGAAAGTAACAGCTTTCTGGAATATTGACAGAACCGTTAAATCCACGTGTCCTCAATCTACTTTACTTACAGAAATTGCTTACTTTCAATTTAGCAAAATTTGATCTTTTTCTTTATTATTGTGAATAGTAAACAATACACATTTTACATTCAACACATTCTGGCTTTGGATATATGTTATAGGAAAAAAGTTATGCAAATGTAAGAATTGGTAAA